GATCTGGGGGTCCCCGCGGGGGCAGCGGGGCTCGGCTCGGCTCTGCTGGTCCCGGCCCTCCGGTGGGGCCGCTTGTTGTGCGGCCGTTGCCTGACAACGGCGCCGCGATCCGAAAAGGGGCCGAGCGCCGAGTGCCGCATGCTCGCCCCGCAGCTGCTCCCTGGGGGGTCGGAGCCTCCGGCAGTGCCCCAGGGGTGCTGCCGAGGAGGGAAGGAGGGAGGCGGGGAGGCGAGCGCTGCAGGCCGGGGGAGAGGCGCTTCCCCGAGCTGTCGCTTTTGGAGAAATAAACCTGATCTCCTGGGTCTGAAAGTTTTTCGAAATTAGTGTCTTTTTGGATCAAATTACGTGCTCTGAAAAATAGATAAGCCCTGTATTGGAGGGAAAGTAACTCGCGACACTTGTTGCTTGGTTGTTCAGAGGATGGATTGCCTTCTCAATTGCGAAAAAGTCACATTGCTTTATTCAAGAGTTTGTTATTTGTGAGAGGGCAGACCTTGGAATCTGTGCTTTTTCAGCAGTGAATTTGAAAGAAAAGTACAGGAAGCGCGTCTCTGGCAGCAGTGGCTTATCCCAAGTGCTGTTCACAAGGGTACAGAAGCAGTCAGTACTAATTCCTTAGGAAATTTGGGTTAAAATTTGAGCAGTGTTTCTTAATGACACAATTAATGGCCGTATAAGTTGTAAGTACAGTTATTAAACGTGGCATATAGTTACTCTTTCAAAGCATTTCCCTCCTTGCCACCCGTGCTGTAGTTCACGTGGATGGGAATTACCATTTTGCCAGTGCTCCTGATGATAGTTCAATATTATGGTGGCATAGAAGAGATGAAATCCGCTTTTACATGCTGATTTTAAATTTTGTGCGTTTCCCTGAACAATTAGGAGAAGGGAAAGATTAGAATGCAACACAGTAAACATCGCTTTAGGTGATAAAGTAACTACACAATATGTAGGTAAATATAGTACATACAATACATATGCACATTGGTGTTTTGGATACCTTGAATAGAGAGTACATTTGAATACATGCATTATTAACTCTGTTTGGGCATAGGTCCAGTAAAAATCTCATGTTCATAGTTGGCGTATTGTTCTTGAATTTCTGTATGCTTTCTATTGCTTGCTATGTTTGTTTAAGTTGAAGTCTACCTAGGTGACTCTAATTACTCAGAGTTTCTTTTGTAAACTCTGAATAAGGAAAAGAGGCTATGAAAATCTAAAATCCTCTTGAAAGAAAAAATATGTAAAAATATTTTTATGGGACATTTTCAGACAGTGCTTGACTATATAGCAGTGGTTTGTTTAATGGAATTTCACTTTGAAAAATGAATTTTTTTGGGAATGCAAGTTGTCCAAGATTTAAAGTTGCAAGAGCTAAAGAAAGGCTGATAGATATGTGCTATCTTTCTTTATTTTTATTGTAATTAGTCATGGTCTCTTCACATGGTACAGAGGATAACAAAATTGATTAATATTCACGTCACATTACATTTTTTGTAATTTGTGTATGCATCACATTGAATTTGTCACTCTTACTTAGAATAACTAAGACATTTTTCTTTTTTTGGTGTAATATATTTTTTTTGCTTATCTCATAGAGTTTGCCCTCATGTATTAAAGATATGCTGAATCAACAGTGCTGTAGCATTAGTCAGCTTAGTGTTCTCCAAGGCCTGGAGTTGCCAGCTTTCTTCACACCCATTGAATTGCTTGTGTAGTTCAACTGTAACTGTTTTGTCTTTGGTTTTTAATTTATTCTATTGCCCTTTTGAGGAATATTCATTGTGTTCCTCATGCTAGTTAGAAAATACTTTGCAAAGACTGCTTTCCTTATGCCAGCTCTCAGAATAATTTTGGTACCCTTCCCATCCAGTGATTTGGAAACAGTCCTAGAGTTCATATATGCTATTGTAGACAGAGGTAGGAAATATAGATGTTACAGTCTATGTTACAGTCAGTGAGCTTTTGGAAAGGCTTCTCACAGTGCCTCCTACATGTGGTAATTTTCCTCTTGATGACTGTGCAGCACGGGGTAGGTGATGAGACCAACTTATGCCAAGTTGTTTCACCCTTTCAGAACATTTGTTATGTAACCTGATAGGCTAAATAAAATTTACCATGCCTGGAAACTTATCCTCTTTCAGATTTCTTTTATCCTTTATCAGTGTGCAAAACTAATGAGATTAAAGATTTAGGACAAATCAGACGGGGGTATTTATTTTTGGCACTGATTGTCCTGAACTACCACTAGGAATTGTAAATAGGTTGGCCTAGTTCTGCCTCCTTTGTAACAATATTATAATTTTATATCATGAATCAAAAAAGAGGAGGAATACATCAAGTAAATGTATTTTTGAATTAAATCAGTCTGCAGTTACTTCATTTTTTCTTACAGCATTTGTGCATTTTTATTGCCATTTTGTTTCTAGTGAGAATTTCTTTCCATTTCTCTGGACACGTTACTTTCATGTTTATCTGTGTGCTCCCTTATTATCTTTGAGGTGGTGGTTTGGCTTTTTTTGGTTGCTGTTGTTTTTAAGCTCTTCAATCCTTTTCCTGAAACTTTTCTAATATACCTTTTTCACTGGCCTCTTGTTTACTTTGTATGATCTTTAAACAATACAGAATTAGCCTTAAAAAAACCTGCTGTCTTAGTTTAAATACTGGATGTAATTTTTCTGGAATCTGCATAAACAGTCCTTTTGCTTAAGCTGTATGGAGTGATTTGAGGGTCATAATTTTCTTAGTTTCATGCTTATTTTAAGCATGGAATATAGCTTGAGGATTTTTATTTTTTTTTGGTAGGCTTGGTTTTGTAAAACTCCTCCGCCACTGGAATTGATGAAAATGCTGCGTGGAGACTAGGATGAGTAGGCTTGTATGCCTACTTCTTTTTGGTTTTGTCTTTCTTTTTTTCCATAATCAGTTAGTGTGCAGCTTTGCAGTATTTTTAACTGACTCAACTTTGGTACAGTTCCATTGACGTGAACTTGAGTGTCTTTAGTTTTTATTAGGAGGTCACTGAAAGCAGCAATATACAGTAAATTCCACTAATAAGGTGCTAAATTTCTGCTCTGAAGGACTTCCAGTTAAATATGCAAGGTGCACAACTAATGGAAGAGAGGTAATTGCTGTTCCTCAGTGCATATTTCCTTACAGATCAATGTCTGATTCTGAGTCAGTGCTTTCTTATATCCCTGATTTTAGGATTATTGCAGACTTGTAGGTGTTCTTATTGCCTCTGCTATTTTAGTGGTAGAGGAGGTAGGTACGGTTGGCTCCAACTCCAGAAACACTATTCATGTATTTTGTGAGGTGTTTTTTTTTTTTGAAATTCATGTTTTGTTTTGAATAAACTTGATTATTTTAAAGACTTCTCATGATAGTAAGTTAAGCACAGAATTAATTGTGTGACCTGGTCCATATTTTAGACTGTGCATGTATTTTGCACTTTTTGTACTTTTTCCTAGTGATTTCTTCATCCTGTGTTTAATAATTTTGATTTTATAATTCACTAAGATTAAGCTTGTGCTAGTATGTAGTGAAAGGTCACTGGAAGACTTGCAGTTAAAAAAAAAAACCCCAAACACGTCAGCCATGCTAGAAAAAAAAGATTAGAGAAGTATCAGTCTTGTAATCTGGAATCTTTGAATTTTCTCTCTGGTGAAACATCAAGGAGTCTCCTCCATGGATGGGTTTCCCAAGTCAGTTGTTTTGTTGTCCCAACAAATATCTTAAGGCTCATAGTTCTGAGGGAGAAATTAGATTATTTTTAACTGCTGTCTTAAGCAATTGTAATTGAGCTTTACATTTTTGAGGTTCTAACATGAATTCCATGCTCTACATTTTTTCTGTAACCTTAGAAATGATGGCGGATGATTTAGAAAAATTTATTGAAAACCAGAAGGCCAAGTTGGCACAAGATAAGGCAGAGCTTGAAAATGATCCACCTTACATGGAAATGAGGGTAAGAGTATAAAAAAGCTCTCCTGAATTTAAATGCTTCTGTTGCCAAAGTGTTGATTGAAGCTTGCTTTTACTATGCTTTCAAACTGTATTTGTTGTTGAAAAATATATTAAAGATTTATCTATTCAAAGTAATTTCCAACTTGAGTACTTCATATCTATATGTAGAATTTTAAAAACCTGCATGCCACCAGGCACACACAGGAAGATTTGTGTTTTACAAGTGAGAAGTCTTGTACATGGCTTTTATTACTCCTTCACCCCTCCCTAGGGAAGCTGATTAGCAGGGTTCTGTCCTCTGCCCACTCTTGGGCTTGGGTGTTGGGGTAGGGATGAAGGTACAAATATCCTCAAAATTTCTGTTCCAGAAACTATGAAATATAAAAAGCAAATAACAATCAAAAAACCTGTTCTTATCAGGTTTTCTATTAGTAATTTCAATGTGTTGTTCCAGCATTACTTTCAATCTCTCTGTTCTCCAGTGCTAATGATTACATTACTAATGTTGTTCTTTTATGTGGTATTTCCTTTACTTTGTGATGCAGTAAGACATTTTTGTTTTGTTTTCAGAATAAGGAATCCGAGAAACTTTCTGAAACTAGCAAGATGTTAATCTCCATGGCTAAAGAAAATATACCTCCAAATAGTCAACAGAGCTATCCTTTAGGTATAGTATATCTTTTTTTCTTCCAAAAATCTTGGGATTGTATGGAATTTTTTGTAGTTAGGCTTTTTTTTTCTTTGGCAGGAAAATATTCCAAAAGCCATCTCTTTTTTCTTGCAAGGTAGTACCGTTAAAAGTACCCCATATGAACCAAACATAAAAAAAAGAACAACCCAAAAAACCTGCTTGCCAGTCCTTGATTGGTGATGTGTTCTTTCCTGTTGTATTTGGGTGCAACGAAGTCTTTGAAAGTCCATCTTTCATCTGGACTTTACTGCAAGAAAGTACATTCCCTCTGTGTTGTGCCGGGGAAGCAGGGCCTCTTTCTTTCAGTCCCCTGAGAGTCCTAGCCAACTTGGCTAAGATGCACATAGTTAAACGAATTTTTCTCTTAAATAGTGTTTTTCAAATGTTCAAGCAGTTTAAACTGTTTTTATTGCTTTTGTGATTTTGTTACAATGTAGTCATTCATTGTGCAAGGAAAGAACAATGACTTCATTTTGATTGAAATCTTAACCAGGTGAAATGGTTAGATTTATTTTGATGTGGCTACCAGCTTAATATCTGTTTTCTATATATATTGTCCTTTTTCTTCTTTTCTCTGTGTTCTCTGTGACATTTGATTGAAAATGTGTGATTTTGTTCTTTTCTTCATTTTCCTGTTTCTGTAACGTGCCACCATTCCTTACTTGTCTTACCATCACCCTTCTGTAGGCACTACTGTTTTTCCTTAGCTACACTTGTGTAGCTCAGGTTTGTCCTGAGAGCTTTAGAGCTTTTCTGTATTCTAATTCTTGTTGATAATTAACTCTTTTCTTTCGTGTGTAGGCACTTTGGGTCAGTACCTCATTAATTTTCATACTGTGCCTACTGTAATTCTGGTGTAATCCTGCAGCTTTCAGTGGGATGGAGCTTGAGTTTGTGAATCTGTGGGTCTGATATGATCTTAGCTGCATAAATAAAAACATGGTTTTTGTAGGGATGCTGTATAAATAGAACTTCCAGCAATCAGCAAGACAAGCTCCTCAAAGACCTTTAGAGGAAAACTTCACTTAAAAGTACTTGAAATGATAATTGAATATTCCTTGCCTCCAGAAGTGATAATAGATAAACTTAGCTAGAGGGCAGCACTTGATTAAGTATCTATCACACATTTTTGGCAGTCTTATTAGGTTCTGCAAGTTACTCCTAGTGTTGATAATTCTTAGTTTAACTGAGGAAGCGTAACACAATGACGTATTACAGATGAGGGGCATTCAGGTCATCTGAAATGAAAAGTAGGTGTTGCCATGTTGTGGTTTCACTCCAGCTGGGAACTGAGCACAGCCACTCTCTCACTCAACACCAGCAGGGTGGGGGCAGAGAACTGAAAGTGAAAAAACACATGGGCTGAAATAAAAACAGTTTAATAATTGAAAAAAAAAATTGTAGTGAAAAGGAAAAAAACAAAGAGAAAGAAGTAAAACTCAAGAAGGCCAAGTGATGCAAATGTAAAACAATTGCTCGCTACCAACTGATGCCCAGCAGATCCCACCAACCTGCATCCTAGTCTTACTGCTGAGCATGATGCCATATGGAATGGAATATACCTATGGTCTGGGGTCAGCTGTCCAACTTCTTGTGCATCCCCAGTCCCCTCATTGGTGGGTGGGGTGAGAAGCAGGAAGTGTCATCACTCAGCAGTAACTGAAACATCCCTGTTACCGACACTGCTTGCACAAATCCAAAACACAGCCCAATATCAGCTACTATGAAGAAAATTAACTATCCCAGCCAAACCCAGCACTTTCTATAATGATCATTTGGGTGCTGAAATGGATGGCTGCCGATATTACTGCTTTGCTGTGCTTTAAAGCACTGTAATTTCTTATGGATTACATCAGATGAGACTTGTTCCTTGGTAGCTACTAAGTATATTCTCTAGTTCTAGCAGGAATGTTGAGGTTTGGACTGAATAAAGTTGCAGTTATTTCTCAACATTACATAAATGGAAATGTTTATGTAAAAATGTATTTAAAAGCGTAACATTTAAAAAAAAAATCACTGTCAATGTGATTATATGTAGTTAATAGAATGTGAAATGGCAAATAAATACAGCAAATACAGAATAAACTAAAGTGAAAAAGCAATTAAAAAGAAGGTATATCTCGTATTCTGTTAGAAGAATTTGGACAAATTTTTCATGAAATTAGATTGAATGTATGTGAACGGGAGTGATTTTGCTCTGCTAGGCTCTCCAAGGGTAAGTTTTTGAAATGTGTAGTTTTCAAATACCCCCTAGATCACTCCCATCCCATCCCGTCCCATCCCATCCCATCCCATCCCATCCCATC